AAAAGCTAAGTCAATCTCAGTCTTTCGGTCGTTGTGATCTATTGCACTCTATGCTTGTCACATAAAGTAATTCACTCTTTGGCTACAACCTGATGATGACAAAACCTTGTCGAAACGTTGTACATTTGCTGTCATGTTAAACTTATATTAAAGTTTTTCTTCATTTCCCCCCCCATATATACCGCTTTCTTGGAATCGCAGTCGAACGATTCTATTAATAATTTCGATTCCACGAATATCCTGTAATTCTGCATTTATTTAAGAAGTTGTTTTGAATCGATTTGAGAATCTTCAAATGACACTGCTTTTCAGTCTAGACATTTTTCTTGAATGTCTCTCCCTCTCATTAAATGGAACCAAATTCTCTAATGTACATTGAATGCATTCTTTAAAGCATTAAGCTTTTGAGCGATATATCCTTGAGTTTTGTTGTAATTATGTAAAACAGTAATTTGAGCTCTCCTTTTATTGCTTATTTTTAAACAAACTTCTTGTTTCACTCAATTTGGGTTATATTGAAACTTGCAAAGTCTTCGGATGATGTTAGCACTTTACTAGTCACTTACTTCAACTAACTCAATTGATATGAGTGTTGACAATATAAAATAAAAATGTGCCAAAAATAAACGAGAACATGTATCAATCCTACTCAATAATACTCAATGGTGTCAAGAAGTTGACGTTTAATAACGAAATAACTGTTTTTAATTGTAATTACACAACATGTGGATATAACAAAGATAATCTGTTTTGCTAACAGTGGTTCCAATCCTCGCAGGTTTTTTAATAAGAGAATTTGTCTTCTTTTATTGTTGAACTCAGACTTATGACCAGTAGTGCGCGTAATAATCGTGAAATAAGAATTCACCAATACTTGATAAAAACTGGCATTGTTACAACACATATATTGTCCTAAGCGTTTTATAAATTATTAACATATCATAGTGATCTGCTCTCCACTGTTAAGACTTGCAGTTATTAACCAAGTAATAAAACTTTGATGGGAATATATTATATTGTTAACGTGCTCACTACGAACATTTAAAATAAATTTTGGTTCGCAGTCATTATATAAACTTTACTGATGTACATTTGTGGTAAGATATTCCTGTCACTTAAGAGTAGTGGTGTAGTAGATCATAAATTCAGACTCAAGGGTTACATTAACATCCCGGTACTTTAGAAATAAATGTGGAAATCACTTGAAACCTTATTTCCAGTATGTTAATAAGATACTACTTGATAATCTATATGTCGCAGTTATAACGTCATATATTCATATACATATATATTTTTCTAAGATGTCGTCGTTCCATAGGTCGTATTTGACTTTAAATTACCGTATTTTTCGGTGTATAAGACGCACTTTTTTACCCGAAAATTTGATGTCCAAATGTGCTTGGGTCATATACATCGAAGGCATGAATAATATATATGTATATATACGATATACACAAGCCATGTGTAAATATATTTAAATAGGCATGCATAGTTTAGTTCAACTGAATGTGTTATTTATAACAATAGTATTTTTTTTTCTTTT